CAGTCAGAGACAAAGTGAGGGCACCACACAAAGTCAAGCACCGTAACACCTAGCTATTAGTAGAGAGTGGCATAGACTGACGGACAGACAATCGCAGCAGGCATCGAGGGTGTCGTTTAGCTATTAACAGACAGACTAGCATATAAAGGGCAGGCAGCAAGCGCAGCGTACGACGCGGAACTTCAACAAACAAAAGGAAGAAACAAAGCAAACGCACTTACATGAGGGGGAACTTACCTGGTGGCCTCCTGCGATGGTCCAGGCAGAGCCTCGTCTCGACGATGTCGACGCGAAGATCCATCCGGCCAGCGCAGACCACAGTACCGCGCGTGCAGGTGCACGCACGGATACCCTCACCTGGTTTAGCCCGCCGGTCGAGACGGTTGCCCGGGGTGTGGCCGCTGAGCAGAGCCCAGCTACGTGGAGCCACAGGTGAGAGTTAGGTGCCAGCAAATGGACGCTAGGCGTAGTCTCACCTGCAAGCAAGTGAGCGACCACTACGACCATCACGTGGACCCACCGCTGACACCCCTACACCCCAAAATGCGACCAGACACTCTAACACGACCAGCATCAATCGCCATGTCAATCTGGACGCTGATTATGAAGGTCTTCGTGCCCGGCTCATCGCTAATCCATACTGGGCCATGTAGAATCTCATTATTTCCCCGTCCTCTCCCCAGACCGTAACTGTAATCCCTAACACCTCTACGTTGGCGCAATGACCTCTGCCCCATACCGGGTCGACGACCAATAAGTCCACTCTCAGCAGTCCCAGTGAATCGTCTTCCTCCTACCCTCCGATACAGAGAGCCACAACACTTCCACCGCTCTCCCGCCCAGATCCTATCCTAATTAAGGACGCACCCCATTTTACTCACTAGTCGCTTACCTGTCAGTGGCGGTCCTGTGGCGCCCACCAGTTTAATCTGACGATCTCACTTTCTGCTCTGTTTTTTTCATCTGGAGATTGCCAAATCCTTACGACAAACTGAACCAGCCATTGCTTAGATCTATGGCCTACCTCAGGTTCATAAACATGAAGTACCACTGCGACCGATAGTATCGTTAATCGGGGCATCTAATTACAAGATTTCTAAATGGCTATTCCACAAACTTTATCCGGTGACAAAGGATTGTGAAACATCGATCAATAATTCAATAGAGTTTCTAGGCAAATTACAAGGACTGAGAATCGCAGCAGATGAAATAATGGTATCCTTCGATGTCTTTTCTCTGTTTACCTCCATGTCACTAGATTTAGCAAGATAATGTCCAGAGAAACGTCTCCAGTACTACGACATGGATATCCCTGCATCTGCTTTGTTATAATTCTTAGACCTTTGTTTGGAAACGAACTTTTCAGTTGCACAGGAATACTACCAACAGCTAAAGGGAGCCTCTATGGGATCACCCATCTCTGGTTTTCTGGCAGAAGTCACCATGCAGAAATTAGAGGCCATCACCCTACCACTAGTTAACCCCAATTTATGGGTACGATATGCTGATGACACATTTGTCATTGTTAACAGTGATTAATTGGAAATACTCCACAATATTATTAACCCAACACTTCCAGGAATCACATTCACACTTGAGAAAGAGGCTAGCAACAAACTCCCGTTTCTTGATGTCCTCGTGCAGTGAAAACCTGACGGGACATTTCACACTTCGGTTTACCGCAAGGCAGCCTAGGCGGAAATTTTTTTACATTGCGAGAGCAAGCATCCGACCCCCCACAAACGGAGTGCCGTGAACAGCCTGCTTAACCGAGCAAGAACTCACTGCTGCGACAACTAAACCTATCAAACAGAACTAAATTATTTGTTCAACTGGTTTCCCAGAATGGGTATCCTAGATATTTTGTACACCAAAGCACGAGACGATAGGAGTTAAAAGAAAAAGACAAGGAACTAGATTGCACCCGATCCGGCGCGCAAACCAAAAAACAGGCGAACACTTCCGTACATTAAGAATGTGCCTGAACTAGTTGAAGGACACATGAAGAAGCACCAAATGCATGTGGCACACCAGTCGGCGACTACACTTCGTAACTAGCTTGTACACCCTAAGGATAGGGTTGGCTATTTAGATAAGAACGAAGTTGTCTATAAGATACCGTGCGACACCTGCAATGCGGTTTACTGTGGTCAAACTTGAAAATCGGCCTCTACACTAATATACGAACATCAACTGGCCGTCAAAGGGCGGGGCCACTTGTTACACGTTGCCATGCCTACGTTGGAAACTGGACACAAATTCGCCTGGGATAAGAGTCGCATTGTAGGTGTCTGCTCATCTAAGAAGTACCGCGAATTTATAGAGGCCACCCATTCAGATAACCCATGCATCAACCGGCACGTAGAATTGGATACGGTGTACAACAACCTCAGTGAGAAGTGGTAAAGGCATTGGTCAATCAGTACATTACGCCAGCAGGAGTGACAGGACAAAATCGATTGTTTAGGCATGTTTAAATGTTCGCTGTTTTGCACACTTACTTCACGTCTGAGGATGACTTGGGGAACCAAAGTCGAAAATTTGCAATTAAACTTGTTTATCTTTCCCAAAGAACTTATTTCTTTCGAAAAATTATTTTTGGGAGGCTCGTTTTCAAATTCCTATGTATATATATATATAAGCAATAATATTCTGCCTATATAATGCGCCGCTGTGCGGCTGCTGGTTGGTCACGAGAGGGAGAGCCCGTAAGGCATAACGTAACGAGTGGGTTCCGTAAGAACGATCGGTGGGCGCCCCCTACCATTGTATATTCCCGATCGAAACTGACAGGAAAACGGGCCCGTGGCCCAGTGGTTAAATGCGTAAACTTCTAACTAGCAGGTCGCAAGTTCGAGCGCCAGGTATTCCACGCTTCGGTGTTGGGTATTACTGGCTGATAACGGCTAATAAGTCAGAAATGGCCATTCCAGTCTCCCTTGTCTTTGTCAGTAATACCATTCTGCCTATCTCATGTGCCGCAGAGCGGCTGCTGATTCGGTACGAAAGGGAGAGCCCGTAAGACGCAAAGGAACGAGTGAGTTTCGTAAGAACGATCGGTGAGCGCCCCCGACCATTGTATAAATTCATATATACTATCCCGTTCATCATCCCCAAAAGAAGACGAAGAAGAAAAAGAGGCGTTGCCATGGACCACACTGCATTGGTGCGGACGTTTCGGAAACTTCCTCGTTTCCATCATCAGAGTAATGGTAGTGTGTTTGTTCCCGCTAGCTCAGAGTTGTTCTGTCTCGCCGCCTGTCTCGAGTTATAGGCATGCCTGATACACGAACTCTGACCTGCTTACTGGCGGGCGATTGGCTTAGGTCTCTCCGTGGCCGACCGCTGGGGCGCTGGTGTGACCTCTGCCCCCT